TTAAATCATCAGCAAATTCGTCAATTAAATGTGATACATTGTATCTTTGAAGATCGTCAGATGAAGCATAATCCGTTAGGTTCACCATATTTACAACTTTGACAATCACAACTTCGCAACTTACTTCACAACTTGCTCATTCAATGTTTCTATCGTGCGTGTTCAATTTAATGTGCTACAGCCTTCTCTCCGTCCCTTTATATATAATTAGTAGGAATGACGTCAATCTATCAAAACTGCTTACCAGAAGTCTTATCAGGAACAAAATAAAGGCGCGATAATGAACACACTAACTGTGTGTTATGCCTTTTTCCTTCTTCATTTGGATGTTGAAAGCAGTACTTACAATTAGCTTATAGCATCATTTTAGACGAATACCTATTATTTGCAACAAAACTCTACAATTTATAATATTTTATTCGTCGTATAATGTAGGAAGCATAAAAAATATCGGACTACATATACATATAAGATTACAAGCCATTGCAATGAATGTCGAAAATATTGGGAATATAGTGAAATGCATACACAAAGTTTAACTATTTTTCCATTATTACGATCTTTATCATTATTTAATTAAATCTTATGACACAAGCTAAATTCTATAAATGCAATATATGGAAAATATATATTAGTACCATATATGCATTTTGTATATGTGTAATCCTTTAAATGTTTTTATTGCATAAAGTTATAAATAAACTTCTATTTTGTATTCTGTCGCAAATTATATATCTAAAATGGTCTGTATATCGCACATAGATAAATAATTATATCAATAAAGATAAAAAGTTTTTAAAATTATTTAAAATGTGAATTATATATTTTTAGCTGTTTCTGAATGAGAGAAAGTTTTCTGAGAATAGTACTAACGTCATCTGAAGTTTTCTGTGAAGTTTACGCTCGTGAAACGTAACGTTCATGGAATTTCCTTGGCATAAAGTATGGGTGAACACATGTTATTTCCTTTGAATTCCCCTTCGAAATGATTCATGAGATTACAATTCATTGCAATGCATGCAAGTATTGATAATATAGTGAAATACATATACAAAGTTTAAGTATTTTTCCATTATTATGATTTCTAATATTATTTAATTAAATCTTATAACATAAACTAACATTTATAAATGCAATTATTACATAATACAATATTTTACACATAATAATATTATCATTAATATTATAATTAATTAAAAGCTGTTGTTGAAATAATTTATTAACAATCTTTTAATTTTGTTACAAAAAATTTTTTATACTAGAGAGTTTTCTTAAATAGAACACAGAAGATTGAAAATGTTCATAAATTTTTAAAATAAATGATGCTATGTGTATTAATTCTCTCTGCAGTTTGGTTAATGATTAATGATAATATAATAATCAAAATAAATTATGCTATATATATTAACTCTCTCTATAATTTTGTTAATGATAAGCGATAATATAATAAATATAATATAATAACACAGCAATAATATTAAAGATGATATTAAAATAGCAAAATAAATAAAAAGAATTGACATATGCAAAGGATTTCAGTACTTATCGCGTCTTTCAATTTTAATTTCTTTAATTAGTACAAAGTTGATTAAAAGTTGTGGTTTTAATATATGAGACTATAAGGCGTAAAATAAAAAAAATGGAAATAACTATTTAAAATTATATAATTAATATAAATTAAATATATGTTTTGGTATTACAGATACATTTTTATTTCATAAGATATTTTTGCATTACAATATAATAATGCAGTACATAAATATTTTATTATATACGCTGGACTAGATATAAGTATATAACATCATTCATATACTTGTATGAATAATTGTAATAAATTAATGGCAAAAATTTACAATAGTGACGATTTTATAATAAAATATCTGGGAATAACATTTAATATTTACAATATTTAATTTAACATTCGAATAAATATTAAACTATTTTGAGAAATAAAAAATACATCATGTATTATATTAATATTAATAATAATTTAGTTAATATATTAATTAAAATATATCCTTGAAAGGAATAAAAACACTCTTCTATCGTAAATTTAATAATCAAATAAATATTGCAATACTAATTCAACATTTTGTTACAATTCAACAATTCGTTATTTTGCTATAATAATTGCGATGCGTCTGATTTCATAAGTCAGAAAAAATGTTTGTTTTATAAATGCGGTGGTGGACAAATGCATTCATCGCCTAAGTGATCTTTAAGCCATCCGATATAGTTCATCAATTTTGTGTAAATACCTGGAAAGTTTGGTCTCCCACATCCGCGGCCCCAGGAAACGATGCCTTAAATGTTGCATTCATTATTAATAATTGTAATATACTTTTAACTTTTACAAGTAAGAAAGACATCTTATTTAATTATACAAACAATGACAAGTATTTTTAAGATATTATTGTACTGTTGTACATTGTAATGTTTATTTATAACAACTGAATAATTAAACATAATTTTTTAATAAAAAGTAAGGATATTAATAGTCTCTGTAAGATACAAGTTAAATATAAAAAATTTTTTGCAAATGAAAATTTTAAGATGCACACAACCGTTTTTTATAGATTTATCAAATTAATGATAATTTTGCACTAATAAAATTTTAAATTTGAAAATGTGAAGATGTCTAAGGCAATGAAAACTATGACGTGTTAATTATTGTATACAGAAAAATTTATTTTAATTTTAATTATAATCTAAAAGTTGGATAAAATTAAATTTAAATTTTATTATAAATTTCTAACGTTTTGCAAACATAAATACATACCCATTATTTCAAGCTGTCCATGGCTTCCTTTGACGTGTAGCGGACCGCCGCTATCTCCCTTTAAAGAAAATAAAAGTATATAAAGAAGAAAATGATATAAAAATGGCAATTCTGTTCTTATAAAATTCAGACATTTAAATCTATTACTTTTCTCATATCTATCAATAGTCAATAATATAAATTATTGCATACAATAGTTAGCATACAATAGATAGCATGATAATTGATTCACATTAGTGTGTAATATTAAATGTGTTAAATACTGCCTCCGTTAATTAAATTTCAAAATTGGTTCAATATTATAAACATTTCTTATGCACTTCTGTGTTCCCTTTAGAATTATTAGTTTTTATTTTGGAGATTTCCTACTTACAAAACAAGCGTCACGTGCACCTTCCAAAAGATAACCAGCACAAAACATGTTTTCGGTAATACGTTTTTCAGCATATCCTGCGTTATCGCATTCCTCTTGTGATAAAACGGGCAGACTGACTTTTCGTAATTCGTCACTCACTTGTGTGGATTCTCCCGTTCGACCCCACCCAACCGCAAGTGCAAGTGCACCAGTATAATCGATGGCTTCTGTAATTTACAAATTCGTAAATTATGATTCTAATACCTTTAGTTGATATCTTTCACGATTGATTATATTAACGTAGATTTTATTAAATTTACTAAATTTGTTATTTAAATATTTATGTAAAATTTAAAGTTAGAAACAACAAAGGTAAAATGTACACTACACATTAAGTTAAAGAATATTGTTAGTGCAATTTTTATATAATAACATTTTTAACTGAAAAAAATGATTAAAATATTAGTGCCAATTTTTACTATAATTTAAGCGTTAAATTATTTTTAAACATATCTGACTAATGTTACAAGTAGCTTACTGTCTTCAGGTAAACATGCTGTTCGCACAATATTATTCAGAGACACAGGTTCGTCCATCTCAATTATGCCAATATCATTATCATAGGAATAAGAGTGAAAATCTTTGTGGATGGTCGCCGTTTTAATACGTCGAACTATAGTGTTGCTGCCTATCGAAGGATGATCGTTGTCTGCTAGTACAAGTTTGATAGTCCTGATATCGAAACTGAAAATTATTTTCATAATAATATTAGTAAATTATCATTCTGGAATTAAATAAATAATTTACAAATATGTAATTATCTGTATATAGATAATGTATTGTGATAGCAAAAGCGACATATATATTGCTTGATATATATACCCTTTCAAACAATGTGCTGCTGTTAAGACGTGTCTCCGTGTTATTACAGTGCCAGCACAATAAAACATGCCCTTTTTATTCATGCTGACTAGCCAAGGATAGTCGTAAACACTTGTCACGTTGCCACCAACAATTCTCACTTTTCTCCCAAGTCCGCAAACTAATGCGCATATATGTATAATTTCGATAATTAATATTTAATTTGATTGAGCAGGTTATTTGATACATATTTGCTAATTATTTATAATTAATTATTACGTACTATTAAGAAAAAATATTATTTATCGGACTTTAACGCTTTCTAAAAATTATATAAAGAAAAAGATTGCAAAAACAAATAGTTTTTTATTATTATTTTAATGTACTGTCGCTTTAAATAATATATATAATGTTTATATTTTCAATTATATAAAAAAATTTATTGTCAACTCATAATTTTGCTTCTCATAATCGTGGATAATTTTACAACATTACTATAAATGGACGATTTCCGCTCTCGTATAGTACTTATAGCTAGTTACGGCGGTTTATATTCTAAGAAAATATAGCACAGTTTCTCTACAAATTTCTACGTTTCAGTAATAACAGATTATATATTTTTCCAAGGATTAAATTTGCAGCAAGCGCAATTGTATCCATTATTGCTGTAATATTAAGATATGGAAAATCCGTCTATTATCCATTATCCTTTTAATGCTTTCAATTTTCTTCATATGCATACAAACTTTGTAATAAAATTCAAGCTGATTAGATGCATTATCTCAAATGCTTGTACTTACCGCAATCGTTACAGACGTCCGGTCTTTTAGAGGAAAACGTAGGAGCAGGATCGAAGTCTACATAAGACACCTCGTCTATTGCTGGACGATCAATCTCAGCATTCGTGAGGTTATAGTGCACCTGAGCATTCGAGGTAGGCAAACTTTGTTCGATATTCTGCAAAGAATATATGTAAAAACAGATGTCTGCAAAGAATATGTATAAAAACATCATTGCCAATCTTATTTTTCTCGCAAATGTTCTAACAAAGTTGTATAATTATTTGGTGTTTGAATAAAAAAAATCATATATATGTACATATGTTTGCGTAAAATATTCTTTTACAAGAAACTTGCAGAATGTAAAAGTGAAATTTAAAGGCTTTATTGTGAGATCGTATGTCGATTTACTGTGAGATCAAATATAATATTTTTGATAGTTTAAATGGCTAAATACAGTTTAAAAGACTTAATGTTCAATCATCGTGAAAAATAATAAGATATAATTAAATTGTATGTTAACATTTTATTTTTATTTGTGTATACTATTAGTCAAACATTTAAACAGATAAAAGAAAACAGAAAATTCCATTTTTTCGGAAATATAATACACATTCATATAATAGTAATTTAACTTACCGCTCGCGTGCGGGGCAATGCGTAGACGTAACAGCTCAGACATAGATAAAGCACGAGTATGCATCTCGTTCTTGCGTAGCCGTCCATGCCGTTGCGCGTAAAGTTTCCGGTAATCAATGCGTGCCAGCTGATCTGGATTCTGCCGCGGGATTCGGGCACCCGTGCACGTGGCCCGTGGCGTGAAAAGTCTAAAGGTATCCCGGCCGTTTTGCCGTTTTATAGTAAATTATAACTAATGAAGAAGCCCAGCCGCGTGTCTCGGTGGGGATCGTCAACCTTGAGTGGTGCGTTTGCATTGGCAGATGTTACATGTGACAGCTTTTAAATCACCCGGTCGGTGTACGCGCCGTTGTCTGTCACCTGCGCAGGTATAGCTGATACAGACACAATGAGAAGATGCGTACGCACAAGCACGACAGTGTATGGCGCAACCGACCACCGACCACCACAAACATCCAATGTCAACCCGGTCCACCTCCTCTCACAGCGACCCTTCCTTTCAGGGATCCACCGAGACTGGATCAATGTCAATTTCGTCAGCGGATGAACGCGAATGCCATCGCGTCCCGCGGCCGCTACGGTTCATTGTCGTGGCGACGACGGTAGATGATGATGATGACGATAATGATGATGACGGCAATAAGTCGTCGTCGCTGATAACTCATGCGCGCCAGACAAGCTAATTGCAGAGATTTCACTCGTTACCTCGGCGCATGTTACGCCTCGCGCGAAGTGTTGCCGTTCGTATCGCATTTTGATCGCCGAATTTCGTCGGACACTTTCTTCGCGTTTACAAAGTGCAAGCAAGTTTTCTGTAACTTTCTTGTAACGGAATATCGGGAATAAGAAGTACAGGCTGAGGCGTATTTTGTACATTACTGCTTGTAGGTGACAAGAGCTTCAGAATTCGCTACAAGGTATGCGTGCGTATATGTTTGCTTCTTCGATGCGCGCGCTCTGTCATTCCCGCTCTGGCCCACATATCATGCTCATCGCGAAAATGAAGTTTCGTTTCGACAGCGTGTCTACAAAAGTGAACGGATTGCATACTTTTCTTGAAGAAAGTGATTTGTGGCGTGAGCTTTTTACGCACGAATGCCCGACGCGAAGATTAATCGCGATTATCCGTCGCTGAAGTCTTCTCTACATTGCAGTATGCGTACAAGCAATGAAAGTAATTGTCATGTATGTTTAAGAGAAGTAATCACAAAATCCTGAGTGATTTATGTAGACAGATTTAGCTTATAAATTTATTGCAGGATGAAATATAACGAGAAATGAAAATTTAAATATTGTCTAATAAACGTTTTATTGCAATTTTCTTAGAAATTTCTCATATCTGGTATGCGTATTGCGGTGGAATGATGTTGCGGTTTCAATCGGGTCAATGTAATAGCGATTCGCCCTTGTCATCAATTTCACTGAGCCTGTGTGAAAAAAAATTTTACGATTTTCTTAGATCGTTAACTCGCTACGATCGTAAAGGTGCAATTGGAATAAAACGTTCGAATTATTAAAGTTTTCCGGTCATGTTGTTAAAGAAAACGTTAGAAGATCCTGTGCAACAAAAACACAATGCACGAAATAAGACACACACACATAAGATAGCCTTCAATTAAAAGTGTCGCAATTTCTTCAGCGTATAAATCTGAATTGGTTCCGCGTCATTTAATACTTGCATTCGCGCATTCATCAAAACGGACAAAACATTGCCTCGTTTTATTAACAGTAATTTATTAACTTACAGGTAACTTTGCTTTCACTGGAAATTACATTACAAATTACAATTGGTCCACGTATAATTTTCATCGCCGAAATTGCAGTTGCTCAAGGCAAAATCGCTTTTGTTTTTCTCGAAACGCCCACTATTAAAGTCTCAAGCAAGACAAATCGTTCATTCAAATTTTTTAACAGCGATTCATCTTTTATCGCACATTTTCGAGGATTCTGATCGTTTTTTATCTTCAATGCTTTGCTCGATAACAAGTATGTGTTTTAAATATTCTCTACACCTAAGTCTTATGCATTTAAATGCATGCATCTTAGTTTTATGTCTGAAACTAATTTAGATTCTTTTCAGATATTAACAATAAAATTATCTTTTATATTATTTTTGATAATAAATTTATGCCCGTGAAAAGATTGCATCGCGAAATGTAATCTGACCCTGAAGATACGCGAAAATAAAGCAAGGCTTCTGATAAAGTTAGACACATTGAAACAATAAGGTAATGCGTCTCGCCCGCATGAGGGTCTCGTTACCTATATACCTTGACCCACTGTCACAGGTTACACAGGTGGTGCACAATATCTCGCCCGGCCGCATCTTATCTCGTTTGTTCAGAATAATCGAAGTTACGATAAGCCGGAGAACATATCAGAAATACCGACAAAGGCAAGGACGAGAATCCATCAAAGGATGTCGTTTTCCATATCGCTTGTTTGACATAAATGCATTGCTAAATGCAATCTAACACGCTTACGCAACGTTACCGAACATTTCTCCAAGCATGTTTTTAGATAAACCAAATGCAAATTACTATGAAAGTCGTTAAACTTTCAAGTACATCGAAGCTTCAAAATAAAACGTAAAATGTGTGTCGCGTTCAATATATTTAAGCAATAATATTTCTGACGTTCAAAAAACACCAATTAAATGCCAAAAACTATTTATGAACAATATCATCATTAATTTGATTATCATTTATCCAATTTATTGTTGATTTTATTTTATTTATATGTAGAATTGCAGGCGCGGGTATTTGATCTAACAGCAGAATTCTTTTTCAATGTATACATATCAAAATATTCAGCAAAGACTGTAATTCTCGGTTAAAAACCAAAATTTGTGATAAATAGAAACATATTTCTCTTAATTTTTTTACAACGTTTATATAATTCTATAAAAAAACAATTTTATTTATAATTTATAAAAAATATTAAAAAGTATGTGTATGTGTGTATAAATACATATTATAAATATAAATTTATAGATAATGTAATAACTTCTTTCATATAATTTAAATCTGTTACGAATTATATTCTGAATAAATAATTTTAATCAGGACATTTGCTTTATTCTTTATTCCAAAGAGAGAAATCATGAGAGAAAGACAGAAAAAGAATCATTTGAACAGGATACGCCGGTAGCAGGTTTATCAGATCTTTTATATGCTTGCGATATTCGTTTGCGATAAATTTACATACTGCTAGCCTAAATTTTCACTTCTGCTACCAGCCTGTCCACTATTCCGTATAAATAAAGAGGTGACACCGAATCGACGGCTTGTGTGAAAGTATATGCTGCCTCGGCAGGAAGTGTGGTGGATCAGATCGGTTTAATACTTCTCGCAGAGTGCTCCGCAGAAAATAACGTAGCAGTGCTGTCAATATCAGATTTTCAAGTGCAAGAAATGTCATTTCGTTTTATAGTGTTGTTAGCATTCGTCGCAGTTGCGAGAACGACCGTCATTAATAATGAGGTATTATCGATATGTGTAATGTATTAATGCATGATAAAGATTTCTTGAGCTACTTTATGGCAAAGTATAATAAAAAGATATGTATTGAAAATGGAATATATATAAGAATATATAAAATGGAATATATATAATATATAAAATTTTCTAAATTTATTTACATTTATTTATTAATTTAAAATAATTTATTGAATACTATTTATTCTACAACTTTCTAATAATTAAAATTAAACCTTGTTATAATAAACTTCTAAGTATTAAATAATTTTACCTAATATAATGAACCATCCTTAATTTTAAATCACGTGTATGTGAAAAGTTTTATTTATCAGTAGTTGTATATCTAAAAATATCAACATCGTAAAGAAATCACGAATGATAAATATGGAGAAAATCTTTGTATTTTATTAGCTTCATACAAGTACTTTAATCTGTATAATTAAAAACATTTAAAAAATAAAGTTTTATATAATAGTTGCAGCCAAACTCAACTCTACGCGTCGAAGGGCAAAACTCGAATAGCACAAGTGGAACTAACAGTGATAAAGGATTTTGGGATTGGCTGCTGCAAACGCCGCCAGCACCAATTTCAGAACCACCGCAAGTAGAAAAATGTGAAAAATGCAGTACGTTTGTATTAATTATATTATCATTTTTATGCTTTTATATGTTATTATGATATAATAGATGTATATGTTTCATAATATTCTCTTTTTTAAAGATATTTTTATAAATCACATAAATTATATTGTAAAAATAGTGTTATTCCAGTTACAGTATCCCATCTTTTGTGTGAATCGCTGCGCGTATATTGCGCGAGATGCAACCATGTCTTTCGATATGAAATATGAAATAACGAGATATTAATTTATTGTTTACAGCTTGCGGCTTGACGAATAAACATACTCGTATTGTCGGAGGCGTTGAGACACTTGTCAATCAATATCCTTGGATGACTCTATTGATGTATAGGGGTCAATTTTATTGCGGTGGGACAGTTATAAATTCACGATACGTGTTAACGGCTGCCCACTGCATTGACAGATTCGATACAAGTAAAATGACTGTTCGAATATTTGAGCACGATTGGAAATCGACTAATGAGACTAAATCGCAGGATTTCAAAGTAGAAAATACACTCAAGCATATCGGTTACTCGACTACCAATTACAACAACGATATTGCACTCATTAAGTTAAAAACTCCGATTCGATTTCGAGATTCAATGCGGCCTGTTTGCCTTCCGGAACCAAGTAACTTTTAATTTAAATAATTTTGCTTTTACAATAATTTTGAAGTACATACGACAAATTACGCGTCAATTGTTCACCTTTCAGCGAAATTTTTGCTTATGTATCAATTGTCTATTTCTAGTAAAAACTTTTGCTGGTGAGACAGGAATAGTGACCGGATGGGGTGCTATCCGCGAAGGCGGAATGGTATCGCAAACTTTACAAGAAGTTACTGTTCCTATACTGTCGAATGTCGAATGTCGCGCTACGAAATATCCGACACGTAAAATAACAGATAACATGCTGTGTGCGGGGTACACTGAAGGCGGCAAAGATTCCTGTCAAGTAAGCCAAAAATATTTATACGCAGGCATTTTCATGCAGCAATATTTGGAGAGATTTGGCGTGTTACGAGTCCATTTTAAATAGCTTTTTTTATGATGAGATGATAAAAGTTTCGAAAATAATTTAGACAGTAAGAAGACGCGTTAAAAAACAAATAAAAATACGGCAGTTCCTTACGCTGTGCTATTTATACTTTGATAAAAGATGTGCAGAGATATTAAAAAAATAGTAATGTAATTTCTTATACTTATAGGGTGACAGCGGTGGTCCATTGCACGTAGAACAGAATGACGTCCACCAGATAGTCGGTGAGCTCAGCTTTAAATTGCGTTACTTATTTCATTTAGACAACACGTGCGAAACTTATGAGAAGTTGTTGGACCATAGAAAACATTTCCACAAAACTCTAGAGTACTCCTACACACACAAAAATTAAATAAGTTGAAAAAAATTTTTTTTTTCTAGGAGTAGTATCCTGGGGCGAAGGCTGCGCGCGACCTGGATACCCTGGAGTATACAGCCGAGTAAACCGATTCCGTTCGTGGATTGAACGTTACGTTGAGGAAGGTTGCTATTGTTAATAAACGACGCATATATTGACAGATTTATTTGAGTTAAGTTACATTTATGCCATGACGAAGAATACTCACAATTAGCGATAGCCACGAAACAACCATCAAAGCGCACTGAGAAATAAGTATAGATAATATCCATTATTATTTTGTACGTCATTTAATCGCAGATATCAAATATTGTTAGACATTTTTTATATTAATGATTAATTTATATGTATTAATTTATATTAATGATAGTCATTATTATATAGATATTTTTGTAACGATCAATTATAATATTTACCACATTTGCGATTTGTGTAATTACACAAATTGAAAGTTAATTGATTGGTCAAGAATTGATCAAGAATTTGTAGCATGTAGAATGACAGTTATTTAAAATTTATTTATTCACTAATGCTATATGTAAGTATATGTAAGTCACCACCATTAATTAGGTTTCAATGTTTTACACTCATATCACTTATACATACAATTGTAAATATAATGTTCGGCTCTATGACATCTCACATTATGTATATGAATGTTTTTAAAAATTAAGGCACGCGCGTCACTTCCCACGTCATATTTGCAATGTGGATTGTATGAGAGAAAGAAAGTCGCAAAACTTTCTCCATTTCGTTCAATCACAATCAGACGACTTGGAATTTCAGTGAAAACTCATGTGCATTATGTCTATTTGCAACACTGTTTGTATCATATGAATAAATATAAACATAATATTTTATTAATAACATTGATGAAAAATCAATTTATAACTGATTTATAAATTACTTATTTAATAAAATTTTTTAAATAAGTTGTCTTTAATGAAATGTAACGTAAACGTAATTTTCTACTGCATACAAATATATTAAGATCTAGAAATATTAAAGAATTGAATCCAAATTACACAACCAGATGACATTGAAACAGACATAGCTTTTAGTATGAAGACAGAAAAGCAAGTGTCTGCTTTAAACATTGCACGAACAGATTTACCTATTTAGCGAGTTTGCTGTATTAAAGGATGATTATTTGTTTGATATAAACGTCAGCCTAACACTCCATATTTCTCAATAGATAGAATATTTTTTTACAGAAATTATATTGTTATATAAACTTGACTTATTTTAATATTAATGTTCTATATATCAGTGAAGATCTGCGACTACTGCGTTTTCGTCGTCTGATGAGTCAACTTCTTCCTTTATTTCGTCCTTTGCCGCTGATTGCAACCAATATGTCTCCATGTCTCCCTTTCCCTTTGTATAATAAATAATATACAACTGTGCCATGCGTAAATATAATCTATGATATTAATTATATCGCATGAAGGTCTTTATAATACAAACCTTTACCCACACAACGCCACGTGATTCGGTATGATAACGCCCTCTCGATAATAAAGCTTTGGTGCTGGAAGAAATATGCACCTTTCCCGGCTATGCGATACAGTGCAATTAGTGCATAGAATATAAGAAAAATTAAAACAAAAAAAAATCATTTTTAGGTGTATATAAAAAAAATTAATTGATAGATTGATACAATAAATGCAAAATTAATAAATCAGGCCGAGTCATAATTAACTTCTGTTTGTCTTAAGAGATAACTATTATTTGCATTACCAGACTGGTGGTCTGCATTCTGGAAGCCGTGTTAACAGTATCGCCAAAAAAACAGTATCTCGGTACCTTGATGCCAACGATACCAGCGACAGCTGGTCCAGAGTGAATTCCTGAGAAATTTTAAAAGATATTCTGCTATTTCGTTGTGTATCGACGATCGCCAGCTTGTCAAGCGTCAAAGTTAGAATTTCTGGAGATGCTAGAAATTATTGCGTTCGATGAACAATCATCTGCAAAGTGATTACCTATACGGACTCGTATATCCAGTCCGGAGGGTAATTTGAGAGATCGAACATGCTTAATAAGTTGTAACGAAACATCAGCGATATTTTGCGCATGATTTTCGGTTCGGTCCGGAGCCCCGCTAGCTGCCATGTATACACAACCAACAGTCTCCACCTGTTACGGTAATCAGAATTGTTGCAAGCAAACTATTTTATTGAGCGCAATAAAATATTTTGCAATATTTGATCAGATCAAAGCATTCTTCAATATTATATCAATTATTAGATCGTTAATTAAATGTTATCTCCAAAAATATTTAATAGAAGCAATTAGTGATTTAATAGCAATTCTGAAAAAAATATGACTAATAGATAATCTCACTTTATACACATTAAACTGATCCATTAGTGTATCAAAACAGGAGAACACAGCATTCATAGACAAGACGATATCCATTGCTCCTTTGATGGTCGAATAATCGAAGTCGCATAATTCACAGAAAAGAACTGTTATTGATTCGAAGGACTGCAAGTAAAGATTTATTCAATAGTTATTGGATATTGGAAAAAGCTGACATTTTTAAAGTCTCCACACCTCACAAGTACTCAATGGACTGGCTCCGGCTCGCAATCGATCCGCCACCGTTTGCGGAATCATAGAATATAAAAGCTCGTCGCTTTTGTTTTTCCACCGATCAAGCAGCACATAGCTGTTTTCCAGTTCTGTCGATCTTTGCTCTGCCCTCTCGAACATCATTTCCAATCTCCAAATACATTACACAATTATATATATATATATGTAAAAAATTGTATTAAATAAAATTATAAATTCTGTAGCAAATATACTATTCCACAAAAAATATGGAACCTTTTTCAGATGCACAAAATTGAGCAATTTACAAGCTGCTGAATTCGACAAAAAATCATCGCGGATAAAAAATTAGCGGATTAAAACAGCATTTTAAAATTTATACTTTTATGTATTTTTAATCGTTTTTTTAAATTTTGGATTTTCACAGTTTTAAAAGAGAACATTGTTTTGTACTTAAAATTACGTACTTTTAACACTCTGTAGCTTAATAAATTTTTTTGCAAAATTTATGACACTTGTCAAAAGCTAAAAAAATATTTTTTAAATTTTTACTCTACAGTAATTTTTTGCTGAGTTTCAATGGTTTAAAAATTGCTCGATTTTGTGCGTTTGAAAAATGTTCCTTATTTTTCGTGGAATAGTGTATATAAAACAATAAAATATTTGATAAAAGAAATATTTTGTTATAAAATGTATTCAGTTTTATAAAATATTTATTTTTAATAATTTAAAACTCGACTAATATAAAACACATACCTTCCGCAATGTTGCCATCCCGCCAGCACTAGTTCTTTGCTCATACCATGAGGATTCAGATCATTCAGATATAAACCCATATTAAGAAGTTCGTCTAAACTGTTGATTCTATCGCAGAAAGGCAATTGCGGTTACAATTCTGTTATACGATCGGAAATAGAGAATCATGTCGATATCGAGAACTTACAAAGGGCTACAGAGAAATATAATCGCCTTAATATCCTCGATGTATCTCATCTGGCCCTTCAACAAGATGCTTCTCGCGCCTTGACTTCCACGCCTATCTAAACTGCTACTTGTGCTTGGTATATCGCTTGAATTTAACGAGGAATGAGGATCGTTTGCTCTAATAAGTTCTAATTCGAATATCACTGAATGTAAATACATTATCTAAAAGTATAAAATTAATTTGTTATACTTATGAATATGTTCATTCTATATTACTACGTTTAAAAATATTATCTTATGATAAGTTTGCACGATTCCAACATCCAATTAGCAATCTTCAATCTTGAGAACATAATTTAATACGGACTTATCAACACAAGAAATATGAAGATCAATATGAAAGCAGAAAGGAAGTATGAGGGTTGTAGGAAGGTTGAGACAGAAGTAAAATTAATTAGTAAAAGACAGGAAACTATGCCCGCGAGCATTGCGATGGTAATGTTGTCGAAATTTAGCAAGTTTGTAACTCTGTCTGACAGTCGAAACTAATATTGCGAATTTCAAATTGTTTGTGACTGTTACTTACGTTTCCCCACGTGAACGAAATTCCTTTAGGTCTTCTTAATTTAAATATTTCTGTAATAGGTTTATTTAAAATGGTTGTGGTACCGCCCCAGGCTTGAAGCAGCTTATCACCTGCTCCTAGGATTTGCATATCCTTATTCATCACAACGGCAAATGGAAAAAGTCTTAAAAAAAATGTGCAGGAAACCGGCGATAATTCACGACCCAGTGGAGTTTTCATTTCGTTGTTCTTTGCGATCTGGTTCCCCCAATGTAGAGTAAATCGTAACATTTAGAATTAAATGTTAAATTAGTTATGAACAATATAGTGATATATTAATAAAATTCTAATTCATTAATAAATGTAAATCATTTGAAAAAATGAAACTTACGTATTGACGGTTATCGAAATCAATACGAAATTTAACCATTACACTTCGTGATCCTGGGATATTATTTGAAGTTTCTAATACTCTAATATCCAACTCTATATTATATAAGTCTTTTGCTATTTGAAATAATTGTCCTGGAAAAGGGTAGATTTTTATTATATGTAAAGATATATATTATATGTAAAATAAAATAAAATTAAACAGTAATTTTTATCTATATATATAAAGCAATTTTAAAATTTACTGCAATTATTAAGGAAAAAATTATTTAAACATTACTGAATAGGTTTAGCATATGCCTTTCAGTTAATTCAATAAAATTTTTTAGGAGAGATGTCCCGAAAATATGTGAAAAACGAAAGGAGCAGCTCTCACCCATCAGATAATGCGTGAAGCCTTGTCGAGTACTTCTGTAAACCAGGACAACTCCTTGTGAATCCACATGCGTTGTATACATAGAAGGACTCTTCATTTTTGGATACGTAAACCTCATTTGCATGTGAATATTATCAACACTTTGTAAAAACTCGCAAAAGTAACGTCCAGTTGCTTTTACAGTGCAATCGTATCTAACAAAATTAATTAAGTACTAAATTTAAATTTTATTGGTCTTCGTATAAACATAAATATTTCTAAGACATAGGATAAATGTATGTATATACACACACATACAAAAATATAATTGAATCACTGTACTAATTTTTTTAAATTAACCAATATTGATTGATACATTCATATATCGTTCATATAACACATAGTCTGTAATTGATTAAACGCAGATTTGATGACTATATGTTTATGATGACAGTTAGCAATATTCTGGAAATTAACAAACTTACCCTAAGTTACTGAAAAATCTAACAAAACACCTTCCAAAAAATTGCATGATATTATCCATAGAATCGCCAGTATACGCGGCAAGAGCCGCGGCCAAATTAGTCATTAGTTCATCACAGTATATCTGTCTCGTATTAAAAACCATGTGTTTGCAATCGGCTTTTTCCAAAATTTGCAGCCATGCTTCTTCGCCAAATTCTAACTGTAAAAATTATTTTTGGCTCTCTATATTTTGTAATTTGTTATAAATAACATCTTGAATAAGATTAAATTTAGATATTACATTTTAAAAAATGCAAAAGGAAAAGTAAATTTAATATTTAGTACATAGAATTATAGAAGTCAAAATTTGCATATTTTTCCGGAATTAAAATAGCAAAAATAAAACTAAATAAATATGGAACATGTAATAAAAGTTAAATAGAGGGAAAAAATATTATTTATATATTAAAGAAAATAATATCTATAATATCTTGATTACGTGCCAGACAATAGGTTTTACAGACCAATTACAAATCGATTTGGATAATCAAGCCAATTTTCTAACCCCCATAGAGCAATTAATGTTTCTGTTACTAGAATGGCAGATGGTCACGGAAATGAATATGTGATCTTTAATAAGGAAAGCTCTTAGGAACTATATCGCAAATGAACACGCAAATTTGCAGAAACGTTCCAATGAATGACGTTCCAGCTGTTTCTAAAGAATTTCTTGTTTTACACATACACGCATACAACAATGCATGTTGAACATTAAAGCCGATTAAAATTGCGAATGAAAAATATCAGCAAGACTTTATTGAAACAAATCAATAGTCGTCCTTACATGCTAATAGAAGGATGCTATTTTTAAAACTTCATACAATTAAGGTGTCAGACTAAAAGGAAGTCTTTTAACGCCATCGAAATTCAAGTACCTCATTTATTACATATCCACTAAGCGTTTCCTTCAGCGAGTACGTGACATACATTATAAGTAAGTCGATCAATTTGGAACGACCAAAGAAAGTGATGAAACAATAGAATATATTACTTGTCGATTACTTGTTCTGATAATTTGACGTCAATAATATAATATCAAAATAATGTCGTTTATTTTTAGAAATAAATAAAATCTACTTCCATAATTAAAATATACTGCAAATTTTAAAAAAGAATATGTATCTTTTCGAATTTATACATATATAATGGAACATATATGTAGATATGTAATAGAATTAATATCAAATCAATATTGATTTGTTCCATTCAATATTAATAGGTTCCATTAAAACTACTTACATATTAAAATCTTACTACAAATTGAAGTCTTTCTGAAATATACCTATATTATTTTTATCTATATTTTTTCCTAAATTACTTCCATGAGTCAACAAAAAGACCCTATGTTGCGATAGCAATTGCTGCTGTTTGCATTAGAAATGCCAAGTAACGATTTCATGTCATGTATGCTAAAGTAGATTTAGATCACGATAATCGCTTTTTCGACTCATATATATATAATCAAATTCTGGTAGATACATTATTTATTATATATTAATTACTATTAATAAATAATTACTAAATATTAAATATTATATTCTTATCGTAAAATATTTTTTCTTTAAAGTAGAACTGTTGACGGAGAAAAAGAGGATAATAAAGGGAACGCGACATTTGATACTCATTAAAACGCGCAGTTAATAGATAAATGTCTTGATACAAAAAAAATTGGTATTTCTCTTGTTACCTTTTATGTCAAAAATCTGTTTTAAAATTGTTAACAAAAAAGAAAAATATTCAAACAATGAAGTAGAACGAATTAGCGATCTCTGCGGATTCTAAATGTAATTTTAAAAACTATTGTAGGCGTGCTAACTTGAGACACTTTTATAACTACGTTATACAATTAAATATATCAATATATTTATTTAATTATATATCAGTTATATTTATCAATATAAAAAAATTTTGTATGTGTCTAGTGTGTATGTGATTAAACAAAATTATAAATTTAGAATACAAGTACTCATCGTAAAGAAAAATAGAGAAGAAGTAAACTTTTAATTTATTCTCAATAATTATCCAAATGCATATCCCACCAAAAATGTATTCCAAGTTAAATATACAGTTAGTTAAATATACACATAATGCCAATTCTATAAATTGCTCGCATTTTACTAACCTGAACAAAATATTGCACACTTTCCAACAACATTCCATACATCTTGATGCACGTATTCACAAATTTTGCTTTACTTATCCGAGCGCTGGTTACTCAAATCGCGAAAATATTTTGTCAGTGGATTAAGAAAAAATTCTCTCACGATTTTAAAACACGTACGAATTGGAATCTTTTGCATCATCTTTCAAAGCTTGCTTCATTGCAATCGCGGCGGAAGACAAATGTTTCGCGCCATCAGTATCGGCTCCATGGTATTCAATATCATTTGAACAATAGGTAACCTTCGATGCAGCAGAGAAAGGGAAGTCGAATGACGCGCGGAAGATCCAGTTTCGACTGTGACTTCAGGGTTACTCAACCCAGTAAGGATGGGATCAACGCGATGCGTGCGCAGGCTGTATCGCTGTTTCAATGGCGTTTATGTTTATTATTTCGAGTAATAAATTTTTGGAAGGAAATTGACGTATTTTTATTATCAGAAATAAGAAATAAAAAATAATATCCCTAAATGCAAACTTATTGTTAGCGTTTTTAATTGTCTAATATTTAGATTGTAAATAATGCTTGCGTTTATGATTATATGTTTGTGCGTGCAGCTCCAATTTTTACATTCTATCGAAAAGATTCTGCATATTTCAATATTTGCACAGAATTAAGTATATTAAGTTAATCGAGGTCGCGTTTAACTTCTAAAATTAAAAAAAATATATATTTTTGAAATTTAACAGAATATTGAAAAAAATTAAATATATTCTAGCTATTTATGATAAATTTCTTCTAATAAATTAAAAAAAAGAATATGGGAAATAAAATACATTAATTCATAGGACGCAATATGTGTCTCATGAGAAAAACACGACACCGCAGCCAATAAATCTTCCTTTATGTATCTATTATTTCTGAAAAAGTAATCAATCATTTTCCTATTATATATCTGTTCTTTACGTAAAAGAGAGATAGATAAAAAGTTCAATTTTGTTTTCTCAATATTAAAAATGTTAACAGGTGCGCTACTATGTTACACTGTAATGCTACATTGGCTTGATAAATCGACGAAATATTTTTAACTTTTCAGCAACAATTTCAATCGATCGGTCGCAGATACAAAATCGCTATAATTATTTTAATTTTATCAGCTTCAAATATTCTAGATTCTAGAGTGATTGATTGTACATACAAGTCGTTGCATCTAGTAGGCGTTGCTCGTGTCGCGTGACGAGAATCTTTACCACGTGCTGGCAAGAGGAATGACGACGCGGCTTGGCCGTCACTACAAAGAGATAGCTGTATATATACACGAGCACATACATATACATATAGTGTGCGCGTGTCAGTAAATCCATGCGCTGCAGGTCGCCAGTGGAACGTAAACATGGCCGCGGAGAGTAGCGACGGTTTGCCAATATCCCCGTCCGAGAAATCGCTTACCGGTAGTCTTGCATCCGATGAAAACGAGAAAAGTGTTTCACGTTCGCCGTCAAGTTATTCTATACGGGAAGACAAATGGCCGGATCTTGTCGTGTCCAGACCCAGAAAGCTGGATGCCTGGTGGTTGCCGAGACGTGAGTACATAGTAGTTAAGTACATGGTTCCACGATTCGGCGCGTCTTTCGAAAAGCCGCGCTCTCGGATATAGCTTTGCGCCCGCGTGCGATTAGCGCGCGTGAACGTACTGTGCGCGCACGTGTTTTTATCATTGTGTAGTTTCTTTATTGATGATCGTACTATGTTAGTTAAAATCTATAAACTATTTCAGTAGCACATGTTTGAATATATCAATGAAATTTACATCGGATATATGTCATTCAAACCGCAAACGACTGAATCGTTTGCGTTATAAAAATCATAATGACAAAATAAAATTTTTTTGGTGTGCAATTAATACGAAGCTGTACAATACATGTATGAAACGTAATTACTGAGTATAAATTTTTTATATATAATAAACATAAAAGATATAAAAAATAAAACTCTGTCACTTTAGAAAGCACGTATTTTAGAAATTTTTATAAACTATTTTGACCAAAATTTATTTCGATTTTGCATTAGTTATCACAAATTCTGAATATGCTTATTAGCTTTGTAATGAATGAATAATACGGCAAATATGAATAAATAATGAAAGAGATAATAATTTATATCAAAACTTCATATTGCTTTCGTATTATTTCGTGCAGAGTATTTTTATCAAATTTAATAATTTTCTTTTGCAATATTTTTTATTAATAGTAATATTATAATACCGCATTTGAAATACTTCTGTTATTTACTTTGACTGGGATTCTTCAGTTATATCTTGAACGATAACATATATCCGTAAAAACAGTGTTATCGCCTACGCATAGTATATCGTGCGGCCGGTTTTTAATGCGCGGTTGTCTGTGACGTGACTGCTGTTGATTACAGAAAATCATTGCGGGAGAATTCGTAGTCTGAATGTGATGTATTTGATATCATTATGTTAATGGGAGCATAGTGACGTTTGTAATGATGTTTTTCCTTTAATTACGCGTAATTAATCGTTTTCGATTGACATAAATACGTGATTATTCTGATTTATTCGTGAATAATTGAGTTTGACGTGTAGAAAAAGATCCACGTTCATGTTTGCCTTCGTTCTGATTCAGTGATAAGATAATTGATACATATTAATAATTTGCATTTAAGATAGTGATGCATTTTACACACTACTTCTATAAGAATATTCAAAACTTGTTTTGTGTGCGTTTAATATTAAAATAAAATTTTAAAACATGGAATGCGTTATTCTTTTACCACTTTTGTTTAATAAAAGTTTCGCGAATTTTTATTATTGGCACGTACGAGTACTCGTACAGTAGTTACTGAGTAGCCTAGAACTACTGTTATACCGATGGAGTAGTACAGCGCAATAGAAAGAGATGGTGGCAGCACGGCACAGCAATGTGCACTGGCATCCGTATTGATTATCGCAGATGGAGACAAAGTCAGCGGGAAAATCAATATCACATTTCGCCGGCGCTCTCACTATTTTCGACGTGAAATTTTCCTCGCTCGACTCTCGTACGATTTCCCAGTTATTCAGAATAGTGTACAGATTTACGTGTCGTTTTGTGAGCAAGTATTCGTACCGTCGTCGGACTGCGATGTAGTCCCGTTAGTGCGCATATCTCCCATCGTTTCTTCGTCGCTCGCAAGGTGGGATTTTATTTGCCGCTTCTACAGTATCCGCAATTCGACTGGCTCGTTCCTGATTAGAGCAACGACAGATTTGCTTCTACAACAATATTTCAACGGTGGATATAACATCTGGCAAAGATTATCTGGCAGAGATATAAAAAATAAAACAAACAGTGGACGAAGAATTCTGTCTTGTTGCCAATATAAAATCTGAATATATCCTGCGATATATCAACACTTGGTGACTCATCCATTGCGACACCTTTTTCCATCAGCTGATCGATGCAACGGAAGGAAGAAGAAACTACTATACGGCATTGAACAAGTCTTGAATGTTGCGCATAAACCTAACAGGCGCATAAATCAAACGAGGTGTATAGATTGCCGATCGATTATTAACGACAAACTCGTTATTTTAATAGCGAGTAAGGTATTTAATTGCGACGAACTCTCAAGTCGATCTACAGTAGAAGATTATTGCTAAAAAGAAGGTCAAAGTCTATGCAAATTGAAAGTAAACAACTGTCGAAGGAAGGATAGCCTACAATCTTTGGAATCGATTAAGATAGTAACGATAGAGGACGATATCGTCTTCTATGCGGCAAGAATCCCTGACTGGTCTGAAACTGCGGCCGCCGGGCGATCACGGTGGTGTACATCACGGCGGGGTCATGCTGGAGGAAGACATGGCTGGTGCTCAGGACACAATATACCTGTGCAATTTTCGTGTGTCGGTAGATGGCGAATGGCTCTGTTTGAAAGAGCTACAGGATGTCGAGTTCTCGCTCCAAGAGTCGATGCAGCGGTCACCATCGCCGCCGCTCGCTCTTGGTATTAATCACCATCATGATCACCATCATCACCATCATCAGCAACAGCTTCCCGAGCAGCGAGAGCTTCGCGATATTATGCCATCAAGTCCACCGCCATTGCAGCACGTCTCCAGCTTGTGTCTGTACTCGATGTTTTCGCACTCACCCAATTTAATTCATGGAAATACCAAAGTTTATTTTATTAGTTTACTTTTTCAGATCCTTTTTTGTGTTCAGCCTTTTTTTTTATTAATTAATTGCATCATAAGATTTCTTGTATTGAAAACTGTTTGTATTTTAATTCTACGCATTTATTTCTAAATAACAAATATCAATATTCTAATCAACAACAATAAATGACAACATTGTCATTGTTTTATATCCCTCGTAGAATTGCTTTTCTTGCTTATAACGGAAGAAAAATATTTTTTTTTCTTCGTTACACTTTTGCAAGAGCGCTTTCAGTGGAATGCATTTCTTTTACAACGAAACCATTGCAAATCTTTGCTTATGATTGCACATATTATTTTATTTATCTTCTATTTAATTACGAAGGTATAAAAATATAGAATAATATCCTTGTGCAAATTGTGCTGTGCACTCATTATTCATACATACATCATTTAAGGTTTAATAATTAAGGATATTTCATATTCGAGATATTTATCGCTGAGTTTGAAGTCACTATTCTGAGTACGAAGCAAATTAATCGACGTTACTACGCCAGTTAGAACAAAAACGTATTGTTTTTGCAGCACGGGATCCGGTGATCATCGAGAGGAGTAACCTCGTTAACATTTCAAAACTAATCGTCAAGGAGCTGATCGAAACATCCTTAAAATATGGTCGCATGCTCGATTCTGATCACATGCCATTGCAACACTTTTTCATCGTCCTTGAACACGTGCTTAGGCACGGTTTACGGCCGAAGAAGGTAAAACCGTCGTGCGGACAACACGGTAAATCTATAAAGTTGATATTAACAGCCTCCGATTTCAGGGTCTTCTCGGACCCAAGAAGGAGCTGTGGGATATTCTTCAGCTCGTAGAGAAATATTGTTCTGAAGCGCAAGATATTACATCCAGCATTCGTGATTTACCTACTGTTAGGTATTGCGTACTTTTCTACTTTGAGAATGTGGCTTACATTTATTTGCTTGACTTTGTCCGAATAATTATACGACTGATAAACAGCATTTATTTTGCGTTTAGTTCAGCGATAAAAAATATGTATGACGTTTTCATTTTTCGTTAAAACATGAGTAATTTTGCGCTATAAAATAATACATATATTTCTTAGAGTCTTTTTAATTATTTCTGAAAATATTATTTTGCTTTTTATTATTGCCTTGACAATTTTTTTATCATCAACATTTAAGTAAGAAGTTTTCAATTATGATTTGGCAATATTAGTTTAGCGATTGATAATTATACTTTTAATTAATTATGGAATTAAACTAATTTATAAAAAATTTACCGATAACTCGGCAATCAGGAATTCTCAATTTGAGACATCGCATTTTGAAATTGCCATTTTCAGGACGGCTATGGGTAGGGCGCGTGCTTGGCTGCGTATGGCATTGATGCAAAAAAAGTTAGCGGATTATCTGAAAGTTCTGATTGATCACAAGGATGATATCTTGTCCGAATATTTCGAACCAGATGCTCTGATGATGAGCGAGGAAGCAATCGTAGTAATGGGTTTGTTAGTCGGCTTAAATGTGATCGATTGCAACTTCTGCGTAAAGGTCAGTCTGGATTAATGTCGTGCTTTTCACACATGCGAAAGTATGTATGCGTATCGGAGTGATAATGAACGTTAAGCCAACATCAGTCGTAACTATTGTGACAGGAAGAAGACCTCGATTGTCAGCAAGGAGTAATTGATTTTTCATTGTATCTGCGCAACAGTAATCATATACCTGGCGAATCACCAGACGATGAACTCGAAAACGACAATATGACTACGGTGCTTGATCAAAAGAATTACATCGAGGAGCTCAATCGGCACTTAAAGTAAATATTTGATTACTCGCGAATTTTGAACAAGAAGCCGCGCGTGTTTACTCACGAGTGCTAATTATTTTATGCGCACAATTGATATTCTTTATCAATTTTAGTGCGACGGTAACGAATCTCCAAGCTAAAGTAGAATCTCTGACGACAACGAATGCTCTTATGAAAGAAGATCTCGCTATTGCCAAAAACAATATTTTATCATTTCAAGATGAAAACAGGCAGCTGAAAAAGGAACTTGGAATAGAAGTTAAAGATGCAAATGAGGTATATGTATCGTTAAAATAACCTGTACAGACTGTTCTGTTATTAAAAGATCGATCTAATTTTAGAACGGAAAAGTACCTCTTAAAATAACAGAGACCACCGTGGAAATGGAAGAGCTTAGAAGTAGAATAGAATCTGAAAAAAAATATCGGCACGATCTAGAGAAAGAACTGGAATTACAGGTTTTTATATTCGTATATTTTTACGATTCCTTTTGTATATAGAATCTCATAACTCTCGACATTTTTTACAACAATACAGCTTGATAAAAATATATGTATATGAGTGCGTACAGGGATTGATTGGTATTTTTGCCTCTTTTCATACAGATTAGCATGAAATCCGAAATGGAAGTAGCTACGAAGTTGTTAGAGAAGGATATACATGAAAAGCAAGACACTATAATATCTTTGAGACGACAACTGGAGGATATCAAATTAATCAACTTGGAAATGTACAAAAAGCTGCAGGTGGTACAACTTGCAACTACTAGAGTATAATTTTCTAATTATCGTGATATAGCATGCTCATATTTTCATCAATCACTTTCGTAAATTACAAAATGGTAACAGAATTGGGAATTATGATTATTTCGTAAATAGATAAAATACACTATTTGACATTTCTATAAAAAAATAACGCTGGTCCATAATTTATTCAAAATTTGTCTTCAAAAAATTTGTCTCTATCGTAGCAAATTATTTATTTAAAACACAAAACTGTTTGTTATTGTATACGCTTTTGGTAAATAGTAATTAGATAAAGTCTTATCAATTAGATAAAGTCTTATCAAAGTGGCATGCGGCGATAGATATAAAAGAGTGTACTATATCACAATCGTGATATTTATTTATATAAGTACTTATAAAATGCTTTAATCATAGGATTTTTTTTTTTAACAGCAGGATTACTAGTTATAGCACAGAAGAAATAATCTGTTTTATATCTTTTCGTATTTTATTTTCGTTAGTTACTAATATTTCAGCAACATATTTTTTAGCAAATAGTTAAAACGTATTTTACTTAAGATAGGTTGTTACTGCATTAAACTACTTAAATGCTTTTTTTTATGAATGTGCTAACAAATGGTGGAAATTTTTATTTCGCCGGAATCTTCTTTCCGAGAGAGTTTTGACGTAAATTCTCCGTTTCTGGACATGTTTCCGTTATAGGAGTGTGAGCATGAGCTGACACAGAAGGGCGAGATGGTGAGTCGTCTTCACGCGAAGACCAATCAGATCGGCAAGATTCTTAACAACCTTGAGAAGTATAATCACTTGATGAAGGACGGCGAAGGCATACGAAGCCCCACCACTCCGGGTGGCGTGTCCAAATCTATTTTTAATAAGGCTAGTCCCACTTCCCCGCGAGGGTGTCCGCCCGTGGAGAATCCGATCGCTCGGCCGACGGTCGATCATCAACGCTCTCTGGACGAGCACTCATCGAAAGCTTCTACCAATGATATATTGAAACAGAGTCGTTCTAGCTCGGAGATTTCCAGAAACGGTTCAACGACCGAGCGAGCCGCGAAAGAATAAAGACAGCCTACCCTTACATGATTGATTCCGCAGCGGAACTTGACACTTCGGATATCGCGGCTATTCGGTGCTGCACGCGAAGCGTACATTTTTTATACATACGTTCTACAGAGTTGTGCTAAATTACTTTACCAACTTTCTACTTATGTTTCACGCATAGCACACTGTTGTACACACCTAATATTTATACAGTGCCACTTTTGAAGATTGATCGACGTTACGCTGACAAATTGGTTCGATTGCATAACGATTATTATGGTGTAACGAAATGATTTCACTTATTCGCGCTTTTCTGAGACGTAAAATCAAGTCGCCGATATTCGATTTGACTCGACACAAACTGTTACGTTAAAGACAATAACTTGTAGAAATTTTGATAGCATCACAGTATCAAGTGTAATATGTGAGCATATATTTTTCACTAACGGGAAAATCAACTACAATATGTTGATTTTTATTATTTGAGATAAAAAATAATTTGTTTACAAATAACGATATGAAGAAAAGAAGTTAATACTCACAACATCCAATATATTATTTGTAATCATATTATAATAAAATTTAATGAAAATAATAATATTAAATACGAGTCAGAAAAAAAGTTTAATATTTTTAAAATAAATTTCTTACTCGCGCCGATCACGATTGATGATTCACTATAAACGTAAGATAAACGGATTTACGAAGTCTGGTCTCTCATCAAATCTAGAGATTCTCACATTTCGTTACATCATATTTATTAAGATATTCTATGTACGATAAATTAAAAATTGCAAGACAAAGACGATATATACGTCATTTAACTAAACTTATGCCTAATGATCATGGAAACGATTTCCAAATTAATATGCATCGTATTGTGCTATTCCAGGTTTAGTTAGCAATTTGGATAAAGCATAATCGTCTCTTTCTCTTGTACTCAATAAATATTTATTTCAGGAATGCGAAAGCTCGCTTAAGCATAAAACAGAACTGATCACAAAGCTGGAAGCTAAAACACTGTCGATGACTGAGACCATCCAGAAAATGGATGAGAAGTATGTTTATTTGTCTTTCATTAGTGTTAATTAATTTATAAGTGCGATCGATCACGTGCATACTCGAGATTAGAAGCAGCGTAGCCATTAGTATAATAACCACGCGCATCAGAAAAAGTTTTGCGCTTTATTACCTTGCGTTTTTGTACTAAGGCGTTGACACTTTTTTTCCACTAAGCAGCTTATCTGATCAGTTGTCGGCGCAAAAGTTGCTTTGATAAGCCAGCTTTTCGCTCAGTATCGTGAATTTTTGATGAAGGGTTCCTACGTCAGGAGCGAAAAGTAACAAGGGATTAGTTTGATCAATACTACATTATCTGATATCGTATTAATGTTATCGCTTATCTCGTGAAATGCAAACATGCAAGGATGAAATGTTACGTGTAAAAAAAGCTAGCAATGGTTCATTTTAAGTCAATTATGAAGCAGCGGAAACATACACAAAATACTATATTTCACAAAACGGTCCTATTTTTTTGTAAATGAATATCTTTTTATTCCATATTCCATATTGTACTTTTTAGTTAACAAATGTACTAATGTACTAATTTAGCGAAAATCTAAACTGTACAAAACTTTTTTTGATGCACGCATATATTTTAAACTGTATCATCGTTTTATTTTTGTTTTGCAGAAAAAAATGTAAATTTAATGAAATTTTAAAAATTCTTCATAACAATATAGCCCGAAATTAAATTTATCATGTTAAAAATACGGAGAGAACTAACATTTACATTTGTTTCATGTTTTTCAAATTTCGGATGAATTATTTTATATTATGCCATTATTAATATTATTCAGCAAAATTTATAAAGATAGCCATTCATTTTCATCGGATTTATATAAAATCTTACCATTTCTTAAAAAAAAAACGTTGAAAAGATTTTCTTCATATTGTACTATTTTAGCAAGTATTATTTACGTACAAATATAATTGTTGTGATAAAAATTTTCTATCAGCTGTCGCTATACTATACGGAATTCTGGTATAATAACAAACGATCATACCAATAATTAAACAAAGCACGCACGCAATTAAATGGACAGCTTTAGCTAGAGACAATTTATTTTTTACTTAGATGTCGTAAATGCGATCGGATTTAGATAGGATAAATTAGACAAACGTGAAGCTCTAAGAATAAAAGAAAAAAAATACTCTTATCGTCACGGGGATATTGGCAAACCTTCACTAAATAGCTACTCGACAGATAATTATATCGATATGTAGCTGTTAATATTATCAAGACATTTTAAAGTCTCTCGCAATAATCACTAGATTTATACATTACAACATCTTTAGATTAATAAAGTATATTACTGCAAACATGAGAGAGAGGTAATATTATCGAATATTTAGTCATTACATCTCATTTCAATCATTTCCATTATATTTATTTTTCATTATCGGAAAATACTCATCTTAATTATTCAAAGTAAAAAAATTAGGAATTTGTTTCTAACTGCGTTTAAGGAACTGATTCGCGATCAATCTTATTACCGAATCATTCCTTTTGAATTGATTTATTAATTTCCATATATAAAAATAACTCCGAATTAATTAAGTTATAATATTATAAAGATCTGTAACCGACACATTTACTTGTATACGACATTTTTCGAAACCATAGTTACTCCCTGGTCGAAAGTAAAACACTCGGCGGTGATTAATTAAACGTGCCATATCCATATTACTTACGTATTCGTAAGCCCCCCGCGCAGTGAACATTATAACGCACTCTGACACTACGTGTGCTTGTACTAACGCTACGAAAATAAATTTATGACAGAAAAGAGTGTGCGTTTGTTTATCCCAAAGTTATTGCCGATTAGACGTAAGAAACCACGCGATTTAATAACATTTTTATTGCTGTGTCCCTTTAGCATATGAGGCATATTATATCTACTGAATAAAGTGTTTCCTTTATCTGTTAATAGAATATATCACATAAGGTAAGTTATATATTTGCAAAAATATCGATAAAATTGGAAATTAGTCAATAGCTTTATTATTTTAATAAATGTATTTGTACAAAAAAATATTACATAATAATATGCATTTGTATTTTATCTTTGCAAATATTTGTATATAATAAATATGCTTCATTATCAACATTATTAATTAGTTATAAATGTTAAATATGAATTTCATGGATTGGCACATTATCTCAATATACAATTATGAAGGTTCTCTAATATACCCGATAATTTTACACTTTTTGTTTTATTTTCTTTTGTATATGTAAAAAGTAAAATTAATTATAAAATACGTATATGATAATAATAGTAGATGCATCCCCATTTTTATAATATGATCGCAAAACAGTTCCTTAAATGCGCTTTTTAAAAATTTACTTTTATTCGTTCATAATGCTTTTATGACATAACATTTATTTAATAAAAACTTTAAGCAGTAAATATGCAATTGTTTAGTTTCTTCCAACATGATATATAATATCACAAGTTTTTGTCTTTGCTATTAATAAGTAGGTATAAATAGCAAGTTGCAAACTCTAAGAAAAACCACTCCTTGCCCTTAAAGAATTTACGAGACTGTCGATATTGTTCGATATTTTCGACTCGAATGAATAGGGTCATTTTAGAAATACAGCATCACGCGTCATTACACTCACATTAATTTCGGATCTTAATGTAATCCTGGTGCAAAATATGAGTTGAAGATTGTTGATTCAATTTAACAAAATCGTTCCCGACGGGGATGGTTTTATGTCATCGACGGATAAGTACCAACGATTTGACTTAATCAGGTGCAAAGAGATGGATGGTGTCAGATCGGGGGCGGAGGAGAGAGTGAGAATCCTGGGCGCCGAGGCCGCGGAACGGGAAGCGCGGACGAATGGGGTCGAGAGGGAATTGCGACTCGAGCGCGAATGGAGAACCTCCTTGCAGGAAACATCGATCTGTAACACGGAGAAGATCTCTCAATTACATCAAGAGATCGATCAGCTGAAACGGGTGTCCGAGGTACGGTACAGTATCTGTATTGCCTTTTAAGCATATCCCGCCGAATAAATCTCGCAGTTACGTTATCGTCGCGCAACCTTGTAAGTTCCGACAACGAAACGGCGATCCGATCTTTCTATTTAAATCCCATTCCGAAACCTGCCAGCGTGGATTATAAGCCTGCACCTAATTCAATCGGTGGAGCGCGTTGCGGAGATTTATCCGTCTTTCGATAATAGAACTGACAGTAAGTGCCACGGTGTCGCCGCACTGAAATAGATTAATGAAATTTATTTGAATCACTGGATTTTCGTATCTGCAGATTCTTAAAGCGGTATTTGACACTTGCAAACGAAAATAAACTATGTTCCAAAGGTGAATATCCACTGGGTGCTCTCAATGAGACCGCAGTTAATATGTATAAAGGATAAAAATATACACGTGGATAAAATTGAATCTTTGAGAATCAATGTGAATCAAATCCAAATCGGCATTGTAAAAATAAGAATGTAGAAAAATAAGAATATATACAAAAACGATTGGAAAAAGTAACTTAATTCATAAAATTGCTATAAAGAAAAATACACTCGAATCAAGGCGAGATATATAATAGATTATCCAAAAGCGATTTCTATCATTTTAAGTGATATTTTGTAGCAAACTAATCTATTCTTCATGGCGGCGATAAACGGGCGAGTAAATACATGGCGGATAATCACCGGCGTGTCCCGTTGTTCCAGAGATACTTGACACTGCAGGAGGAATATTATGCGCTGAAGGAGGTGTGCAGCGAACAGGAACGAACTCTGGAGGAACTTGGGGGACAATTGAGCGCGGCCAAATTAGCGGCGGCCGAACTGCGCGAGGCCGCTGACAACGCTCAGCAGCAGCAGCAATCGGCGCTGCAAGAGGGCTCGGTAACCTGGGCGAACGATCGGCTGGTCACCCAATGCAAAGGGTGTAACCGTGAGTTCAACGTGACTCGTCGCAAGGTAATCAAACTTTTTAATTGCTCTCACGCCTTCGTAAACCTCCTCTTAGTCTCTCTCTCTCTCCCTCTCTTTCTTTCTCCTCGAGCTTTCCGCCCCAACCACGGTTTCTCCGGTTCCTTCGCGGACCACCCTCTTCCTGCCTTCCTCTTTCGCTCATCCGATCTATTCGGAGAACTGGTTCGCGCGACTGGAAGCTCGGCTGAAAGCGCGGCGCACCGTACGTAATTGTTCAATTATCCCCGTCGTTCTGGAAATTACTGCCTTCCCCGATGCGGATTCCAGCCGACGGAGCCCGCGCGGAGGAGACAAGGCGAAGCGCGCGTTGAATGACCACGGTCGATCGAGTCGCGGGGAGGTAGACGGAACTGGCATCTCGGGAATACACCTACCTAAGTCGGGATCTGATGCGCGGGCTGCGCGCTCGTCAGATCGTCAGGATCTCGAGATCGAAATCGCTCTTCGCGCGCAACAACTTTGATGCACGACAGTCGTATTATTAGAGATAGCGGGCTATCGTGTTACCCGGGCTAGCAATTACACTTAAAGGCTTTCGTTTACCTAACTTCCCCCTTTATTAAATCGCGATAGGCCGTAATGAGGGCCGGAATTTGCGGATAGATAAGAGCCCGCGCTTGAGGGATTAGGGGCTTAAACAAGTTCTCGGGCGTGTTAAGCACCCGCCGCGCGAAAGCGGCCGCGCGCGTCCGTAACGTTTTTAATTCGCTCATTAGCGCGAAGTCGTGTCGCGTTACACGGCAAAGACGGCGAAGACGGCGGATTCTTGAATCGCGTAACGAAGCTCGGCGAGAGAGCTTACCAACTCGCCTTCATTTTTCGAACACGAATCACGCACCGGCACGGTGGAAGCCCTTAAAGTATTCGCGGAGATCTGATCGTTACGTTCGTTGCAGTTGTTGCGTGCATCGATAAGGGAAGCACACGGCGCGCCAGCGGACAGCGCGCATTCGTGCATTCGTCATACGGATAAATTCCGTGGCGGAATTTACGCGCGCTCGGGACCTTATCGAAACTTCGCTGACGTACGCGATAAATACAGTTCAGCGCGGCCTGTCGACATTAGGCTAATCGTTGCGTGATCAATTCCGGCGCCGCGAAGCTTCGTAAAAATCGTCTACGCATTTGATACATCTTGTTAATATAATCGACGTGATTTTGCGTGCCTGCGAATTTTCGAATATTGTGGAAACGCTATCGAGAATTTCCGTTTCATCAAATATTTACAAGTAATATTATGTTAGTCGGACAACGTTTCTTTCAGAACGTCCAATTACATTATTGCACCATCACCTGACATGTATTCATGATTGTGTGTGTTGTGCATGCATGGCCCGCATGCATATTCAGTTGACGACGTGATAGAGACGTTGCTCGCCTCATAAAATACATTAGACTGTATTCTCTCTTTGCTTTACGTAGCCGGCGGTTCGAGGAATATGTAGCACGCGCGCGCACAGGTATGAGAGGGTTGAAAGGAGCTGGAAAGGGTGGTAAGTTATTGCATAATAACAAGGCAGTGCTCGGATATTCTTGTTACTTATTTTTCGCCCCGTAGGTATATTACCATACTGTTTAATATAGAATAGGCCACCCATGGCACGGCCAGATGTGTGGGTGGAATCGTGCCAGTGGGCAAGCCGTTCCGTCCGCGGGCGCGCGACGAGGAAGTCCTCTGTGCAGAAAAAGGCGCGGGGCTTTTGAAAGGGGTGGGTTTGTGGGAAAAAAAGCGAGGCGGCCGCAAGCTCGCGTACTTGCACATGCTGAAGCAGGCAAAACAATAACCCTCCCTCGCGCCGTAGTCGACCGCACGGCCGCGGTTGACCGCGGTAAGACGGTAAATTCACCCCAGGCTTTCTAAAAGAGCCACGCGCTCTGGTGCACGCGTTCGATACGCCGACAATTGCTTTACACGCGCACTTGACATAGTTCCGCGCAGATTGCGGAATTTTGATTCCGCCGCGATGTTAACGAAACACAACGTAACTTTTCTCTTATGTTTTATGCATCGCCGAATGTTTTGATTTCATCCCGGTAACAATAAATTGCGGTAGTCGAGTTTCATTCTGCAGTAACAACATTTAAAAATTTATTTTTTCAACAGAGAGTTAGTCGGATTAATTACTTAATGTGTAAGCCGCGGATGGTGATTTTTGTCTGTGATCGGATGTAATATATTCTAGTTCAAAAATAATTTTACATTTTCTATGCAAGTTATCGTTTGTTTTTACATGAAAAACGAACGTCTTTTTTTTCACTGTGGCTCGTCGAGGGTATATGCGATGGAAACGTAAAACATACGCACTTCTTATAAAGTATTACGTGAGATTATTAACGTAAAAGGAAGCGACGACATCATACTTGTAATATGAATTATCAAAAGCAACATCGAGTCACGCTGATAAATGAATTGTCCATTTATGAATTGTCGTGCATCGATGTGCATAGAACGGTATCGTACAGCAAGAGACTAGAATATTCTATTCTGTGTCGCAAAAATTTAAAACAAACCCAGAAAATATATCTCAGGAAAATATGTGTATTCCGAAAATACTTTCTCCATACTAAAAAAATTTGCTATTCTAATTTAAATTAAAATAAACTTTTGATGTTTTTTTTATCTATCCTCTATTGCATTTTTCACGATAAAAATTACTCGACAATTTTATATACTTATATTTTGGAATATATCTATGCAGAATGTATTAGCAATCAAACATATTGGTTATGCCTGAGATTGATTGACCAATATTACAATTGCGAAAAAAGAGCTCTTAGCTGTTTCTATCTGCAAAAATAAATAAGCACGCAATATATAACGTTTGCATCTTCTTAACGGTTAACTGCAGAGATGAAAACTCATTTCCTTGCTCATGCGATTGCATAAAAGTGAGTTTGCCCGATGTTGCGCGCTACAAAGGCGGGCGAGGCAAGCCGCGAGATAGTCTCCTCGATTCAAGCAGACTTTCGCGTCGCGCCAGAACGAGTCATCTCACATGGAATTTATAGATCGCTACGGTCGATCATTTGCTTGACAGTATCTCGCGGATCTGATTTATTCGTCTTGGAAAGTATCTATAAGTAGGTATCTATCACGGTTAAGATAAGGCGTGTGCCTGTGACACGCCGGTACGGAGTTGCAGGCACCAATCTACTACGTTTCGGTCGTAAGTCATGCTGATGGGACGGTTCAATAATTAACTTCGCGAGGAAATCGGTTATCGGGACGATATTATTCGGGCTCTTACTTCCCGGTAATAACCGGGCAACCGTTTCCCTGCATCCCGCTCTCACCGTCTCACGCTAAGGGAGAACGACGATCCGACCGTCTCCACTTAGGGGATTCAATTTAGATGTAAAATTTAGAATCGCGGTCGCTTTCCCACCGTTACGCTATTCTTTTGGCTTTCAGGGAATACGAATACCATTATTATAATAGACTGCCGGTAATGGCTCGAAAATAAAGATTACCGGATAATAAGGAGACGAGGGGTGTTCGAGAAGTGCGAAATGAGCGTAAGACGAAACGCGTGGGTGTTGCATTCTCCGTCACCGCGACTTGCAAATCTGTGCGAATTCCTTATACGATAAATCGACGATTAACTCCTCGCGTTTGCATTAGATGAGAGTCACGCTTTTGAAATATAAAAGGATGTATTTAATAATATAAGCTTTAATGAAGTAGAACTCATTGCATGTATTTATTTAGGAAATAATACTGTTAAGTATTCAGCTAGTGAAGAAGCATGCTAAATATTGCATTATCAAGTCTTAAATTTTATATCACTATTGATCTTTATATTTACTATTCCTCATTTACTAAAGTCACTTTCCAGCTTGTCAGTCAGTTCTGTTCCGTGTCCGTCTATACTCCAGTAATCTAACGATCCTCACATGGAAATAACCTGTGCAAGAAATACCGCAAAAAAATATTAAGCGCTCTCTTACCTGAAGTTGACGCGCGGACAATAGTATCCCTGGCACCGAGTGCAAAAAGCTCTGGCCGTTGTCCGCGTGCCAGCTTCAGGTACGGGCATGCACTTTTTTTGACCCGCAACGAACACACGTAATCCGTAACTGCGAACTACGTTACAGAGCTTTTTACTTTCCAGCGCGTAGAACCGAGGCGGCCAAACTCATCGCCATTATACGCCACAAAGTTATTATTGGTTTGGACGTTTCGGTTAAAATCTTATAGTTCACTGTGCGATGCCGAATGTGCTATATTTATACAGCATCGCGGCGCTCGATATCTTATAAATTATTATCGATTTTTGACTTGATCTGAAAATAGCGACAAATAATACCTCGTTTCACTCGTGTTCGTTATTTTGCAGCTGTAAAATTAGATGCCTGCCAATTTACTTTGCAAATTCGAAGTTGTAATGCGAAAATGAATAAACATGTAAATTTTGAGAAAATTATGTCTATATTTCGAATACTTGTTTTGTTCATTGGAAAAATTATCTTGCTTGCAAAGTTTTATTATTAATACTTATAGAACATAAATGTGGAGTTTAATGAGTATTTTGCTGCGGCACGCATTGCTGTGGCATCAAATATTACTAAATAATATTCAATGCGTTGCTAAAATAATTACAATGATTGATATGCTTTCTCAAATTTCCCGTATGAATAATATTATTATTAGGATATTAATTTTCGTGATATTTTATCTGAAATATACTACATTTGTGATATGAATTATATATGTATTACTAAATGCGTATCAATCTGTCTTATTAATAAAGACATTTTATAATCAATGTAGATTAATAATAGATATTTGTGAATGTTATTTCTGTTGCAGCATCATTGTCGCAATTGTGGAAACATTTTCTGTAACGCCTGCAGTGACAATACTGCAGCTTTATCGAACTCAGCAAAACCGGTGCGCGTTTGTGACGAATGTTACGTATTTCTGGTTAGCCGTTACTCAGTGGTGCGTTAATATTCCGCGTGTTATTGTTTTTTTTCATAAGCAAAATGTATAACGGAGAATTTAATATGACCCAGTCAGGAAAAGAAGAGAAGGCGGAATGAAGAAAACACAGAGAATGATAATGAATCTGTCCAAAAATATTGTCCTCGTATACTTGAATACGTTTTTTCTTTATACGTAAATTGAACCATTTATTGTAAATTGAACATATGCGATGACGGACAAACGATTTACCACAAGCGATATTTTGTTCCACGTTAAATCTCTTTTACGAAAATACTCGCGATATTTTAGAGTTTATATGACAGAGGTGAGAGAAATATTTATACAATTTATCAAACGTAATTATTGCAACATAATTTTTAACATATTTTATAAATAATTAAGAAACATATATGAAATATCAATAACATTTATTTTTTTCCAATGTATTTCATAGGATATATTTGTTTAACATTGCACCTTTCATTTGCACAACAATTACGATCTCACTGACGTCGTAAATGGCGGAAAATTCAATAATTTGATTGTATAAATATTTACAAAAATTAATATTGTATTTTGCTTCAAGTCTCGGTGATGTATCGCACACTCAGAAAACTGACACAAATCGAAATTTTTCGAATTTTGTTTTATGTGTGAATTGTGTTGTAAATACAATCGGCCTTCGATCAGTGATAGAAGTTGAATTCAAATACTTTCCGCGTGCGCCATGTTTAATACTGCCGTAAATAATTAATTTAAAAATTATTATTTAACCGAGCATAGACATTGTTTTCTGTAAAATCAAGCTTGCTTCAGACGATTTATAATTTGCGATAGAATTTGAGATAAAAACCAATTTATAATACTGTTCATAGGAAACGTTATTAAAAATGCAATTTCTTTTTTCTTCTCTCCTGAACAATTTGATATTTTTGACTTGTGTCATTTTTCTTACGAGTGTGCGATATGTAGAAAATTTATTTGTTGCGTTCAGCTAGAGGTACAGTAAGATTATATATATATATATGATTGTAATTCGAGCTCGATTTGTAAAGTCAAAACTGCGGTTTTGCTTGCACCGCAGTGTCCAAACGCGTGCCTGTACAACGATATTTTAAAATGTTCTATACCGTCTAAAAAATGAGATTATATATAAATAAATGAGATGGTTTTTTACATCGTGTGTCATTTATTCTAATTTTTTATACCATGCAAGACAAGGAAAATATAAAAATATTTTTCTCAGAGAAATAGTTTAAAGGAGGTACGTTTTATCTCGTTGTTGCAATCTAGACAATATTTATAAAAATATATTATATTGTGCTATGTAATTATGATTTCTTTGAAATAAAAGCGATTTAATTAATAATAGTACTATGGAAATAATTTCTCCGTTCAAAGATCTTCAAGAGTTTTATTCAAGTTTAAATGTCTTGAACGTTTTATAAAGTGCAAATAATTGCTGTAAAATTATTAATTAGTTAATTAATTAAATCGTGACGGTCTCTCGCTAAGCTCCGTGTGCTACAGCATACAAAGACTTCAATTTCTTCTTTCACAGCTTGTAAAAGTTTCATTACTTTCGTCACGAATTGTCGTTTCGGTGAAACGCCGCAGCCAGATCGTAAAGTATTTTCAAATACTTTCCAAACACCTCGTAGAAATAATCCGCTGAAACAATGCAATATCTGATTCACTTTCGTACTTAAGCTCCATTACAGCGGCATCGATCCCTCAGGAAGAATTAACGAAAAAGAGAAGCGGAACGGCTTCTTCTTGCACGAAAGCGATTCGCAAAGAAAACGGTGGCCGTAATGTGTAATCTACCTGCCGAACGTAAATCCGTTCCTCAGGTGCATACTCGCTCTCTCTAATCTCTACAACGGGCACCACACGCCATCCCATCGACTTCTCCGCCGTTGGAAAAGCAGTAAAACAGTCCGGCCGGCCGCCCTCCATCGCGCCCGCAGTTCTTATCCTTTCCAGACGTTAACAATGCCTACCACCACCGATCGTGGCCCCGCGTGAAACGCCTGCCACGTGAGGGCTGTGCGTGTGTTTGTGCGCATGTAATGTCTACGGTACAACGCTAAAGGGAGTAAAGGGTGTCGTGTTACATGTATGCTCGCGGATACTCGTGCTGCTTGACTGCGGTAAGTTTCTGGCGGCGGGTGGTTGTGAGCCGCGGCGAGACTACCCCTGTAGGCCAACTTGTCGGATATCTACGACTTTCGAAAGCTCGTTAGCCGCGAGCGTGCACGCTTAAACGGCCGCTAAATTGAAATCGATCCCGAGCCGCATCGCATCGATCGCCGCGGCCTCGACGATTGGCGGGAATATTCGCTTCCACCTGCGCTCGCTCGGCGTGTATTCACGCGGAGTACCTAGCACAAGTGTGCACGCGACAATTGTGCTCAAATGACTACGGTCACAATTTGTTGCGACCTAGTTTCCCACCGATTAAAAGAAATGTGGTGACCTCGAGCGAGAGATCAAATTTTAACATTGTGATAATGTATATACATTAGTTAATCGCGATAAATTAAATTAAATTAAATTCAATTATTTGCAACAATGCTTGAAATGGATAACTATTCGTTATTCAAACTGTCGTGCAATTTCCCTTTTAATCGGGAAACGTTTAATTAGGAAACGTGATTAAGTTATGATAGTGTTTTATTCACGATTACGGATATTATGATGCGTTACAGCTGAAGATAAAAAGATAGAATATGTCGTGATCATAGATCGTTTTAAATCAACTAACGGAGAAAAATATTCACAGAATACTTTTACGTAAACCCTGGATTACTAACTATCCAACCCGAAATGACGAGTTAGTGCAGGTACGATCATGCAAATAAAATAATGCACAGGGTATTAATGATGGTATAGCGTGTCTTGCGAGTCGTGGAACGCGGTGCCAAGATCATGAAGGTAAAGTTACTTTTACAGTGGAATCACTGACACGCAAAGTGGCTTTGGTCGCACGTTCTTATATTGCACATGCCTTTGTCATAAAAACTGATTAGCTTCTCATCTTTTACGATACAGAGTCGATGTGTAGCAATCACTGAAAGAGTTTTGGGATATTTAATCTCAATATTTCAGATAAACATCTTGTAAAACTGGATAAGTGGAAATAAAAAGCTACATGTATACAATATGCATTTGCATTTTATATAAACGTCCGTGCACTTAACATTTGACACTTTGTCAATTTCTTCGCAAATTATCGCGCACATTTATCGAAAAAACTGTCCGGCACTGTCCGTCGAATTGAAAATTACCACCTTGTTAAATTCACGAAAGAAACACTTGCTCAGGCTACATCCGTGAAATAGAATCAGAAAGAGAAGTTTCTCGGCATGCTCACTGTATTCATACCCGCAGGAATCGCATGCATGTAATAAGCGAAAACAATTGTACGTAATGGCGCTGAACCGGAGGTGCGATTCCATCAAGTGGCACGCGTGCTCGAAATAGTATCCGCGGCGAGCATGAATTATCACGCGAGCTGCTTCCATCGTGATTCTTCAAGGAACAAATCGTTGATAGGGAACAATTGTTTTGTTCTATTCCGCAGGTGTCTTTCTCGCGATTTCGATGTTTATTTAGAGTTTATCACACTTGTGTGTGTATGCGCTGATTTGTTCTTCGTACAGATAAAATGCTATTGCGTGTATCTGAACGCGGCGGTCATGCAGAAACAAAATTTTCTGCTACGATCAAACGCGTGGGAACTTCGCGAGGAGGTTTTTATTGCATGAGTGTGCATTGCGAACCGCCTCGAAACGAAATGGTGAACAAAAAAACTATGCAAACACGAAAAAAAGCAATATTGTGTATGTATCGCGCCACGGGTGGCAAAGTGGACAATTCGTTGACGCATCGAACTATAAAAAGTTATGGGAAATAACGAGAACAAATAATTGTTTTTTGTAACAATGTATCGATAAACTACCGTCATCGGTGATTGCTTTCTATTTACTCTGATAATATTTTTCAAATGCAGTAACTACTTCTTAATTTAACATAAATGACATACATATAGTCCGTTTGCTAGAAATCGCTACTTTAGGAATGATAAAAATATTTTGTTGTTTAGACGATAAAAAACTTTCCGATATATCTGTCAATGTTAGGAAAAATTTAAAAAATACATTTGAATAACATCCGGCGACAAGAGTAATATTTTTAACTGCTTTTCAATTTCTGGTAAAACATAAGAATTTCAATGTATCAATTTTTCAGAAATTAACTCGTGACACGTTTTCCGATGGTTTTCAATAGTATATTTTATTCGATCAACTTTTAGAATGAAAGAAACTTTTTAAAATAGAAGAAACGTATTGCAGATTATTTTTTAGATTGCTTTATTATTGTTATTTTTAATTAATTTATCTTACGTCAGTAGTTTTCTATTGATTTTTGCATTCTATATAAAATTTTGCGAAAACAAAACAATCAATAGATATTTCAATTATATAACAAATGGAATAGACAGATAAAGATATACTATTGTATTTTATATACAAATATATTTTTTGCGTTTTTTATATTGATATATTTATCAATAATTATCATTTATATATTTTAGAAAAATATTAAATACCATTTTAATTTGACAGAAAATTTGGGACGCGTAAGAGAACCGTTATATATTTTATTTTTATTAATTATATATTGTATAAGATTTTAATGCGTACCCGTTTTTCTTTTTAGTATTAATAAATTCTTATTTGGTTACACACTTTATTTATAATTCAAGAATACTGTCAATCCTGTTATCAGTGAGAAATAGTTTAATAAGATACGACTTATATAAATTGTTCTGGTTTAATTTTATACGTGTGCAGTAATTGACAAACAAGATTTACGTTATAATATATCAATTAATTAAAAGTAAATATGCCGAACATGATTGATCTTTTATATTTAGTTTATATAAATATGAATATCGTACATCATATTCATTTAAAGAGACAATTCGTAACATTACGAAACGTTAAATGCATTGTTACAAATAATATATTAGTATGCAACTTTTAGTTAATTGATTGACACCGCGATCATTGTTATTTTATTCTCT